AGCGCAAGTAACTTGCCCGAGTTCACACACTAGGAAGCAGTAAGGACAGTTCAGTGTCACAATACCCTGATGTTTTCTGCCTGCTATGTCCTTTCCTCTCTGTTCACCGGTAGATAACTTCTGGATCCATTATGCAGTTATCTCAGATGCCATCTACTGTGAAATTTCTAGTCCAGTAGTGATAATCTCCCTGCCTTGAATCGGTGGATTTATGTAGGTGTCATTCTTCCCGGTAAGCCCGTGTGCTGCCAAGGTGTAGAGGGGACAGGGATTGAAGAAATTGCTGAAATTTCAGAAGTGGCAGGACCTTGGAAGGGTTTTATGGAAGATCCAGAGACTTAATTGGAATAAGACTCGGACAACGAATTTAATGGACTGCTGATCTCCTTCAGGGCCAGGTTCAGCCTTTACTGTGCCCTATAGAAACTTGAAATATTTGGCCAGAATGTTGAAGCTTGTAAAAAACCTTTTGCCTCTTAGTATTCGTTATTGCCTCAGGCTAAGAGAACAGGCCATGCAGAATTCTCAAAAGGTCAAAACCAATAAGATGCACTTTTAGATATGACTGTTTCTCTGCGGATCTGGGTTTGCCTTTTTTCCCCCTATCCTTTTGGAAGAGGATTAGCTGGGTGAGAGGTGTTCAGCAACCTTTGGCTGCTTGCTACCATTTTACCAGGTAAAACTCAATGTTTCTTTCTTCATTTATTCATTCAACAAACATTTATTCAGCATGGGTTTTTGCTAGAGACAGTTTGAGGTGCTGGGACTACAACAGTGGACCCAACTGACCTGACTGTCCTCAGAATGACCACAGAATGAGTACAGAATGAGCCTCAGCCTTGGTCCAGTGAACAGTGAACACTTAACCTATGTAAGTATGCGTACTCCCGCGCAAATGGGCTCATTTCCTTCATTGCCTGCTTTGCTCATCACTTCCCCCAGGCCAGGGCCCATGCCTGTGCAGTGAGAGTTTGTTGAAAGAACTCAAGATTCAAGAAAAGAAAAACCACTGGGTAAGGATACTCTAAAGGAAATCAAGAAGCCTGATCCTGCTTCTGGATATTCTTTGAAGCTGAATTGGCCACTTACCCTTTCGTGGCTTACTTGGCATGATATGTGGCACACATATTATATATAGTCTTGTCTAGGTTAATTTTTGTTCTTGATTTAATCCATTGAAAAATGATGTTCCCTTAAGATGGATGAGTGAATGGTGAAATATAGTCTTATGAGTTACAATTTTTGAAGAAGTTTTGATTGAAAATGAATTAGAAAATTCCACGGACTTGGTTGATATATTTATGCCATACACATTTAACTTCATTACTATCTACATCAGAATAGTAAATACTTCATTCTCTTGCTAATTAAATATCTTTCATAAACGTGGTATGAGTAAGAGAAGATGACTTCATTCAAATTGATGGATGCCATCATGCATTTTCCCCTATAAACTTAAAAAAAATTCTCAATCATATTGAGACTTGAAAAACCACTTTCCTTGATCAATTGTTTATAAAAACTATGTGTGTCTCTCTTTCTTTGTATAAAGTGCTGATCCCTGGTAATGCACAGCACATTTTATAACTACAAATATATGGCATGACTATTCCACAATGGCATGTTAAATACTTAGAAGTTTTTAGTTTAAAATAAACAAGTATCATAACCAGAATGATAGTCAAAGATGTATCCACCTCTACATTTCGCTTTTCTTCAGACCCTCTCTGGTTATCTTTAAAATTCTACATAAACATTTTAAATGATATTTACATGAGCCAAACGTTTTCTGGCCATTATTGCACTGCAGAGGCCACAGTGGTTTCCTTCCCTCTGTCAGTATGGCTGAGCTGACTGACAGGCTGGCACAGGGAGGCACGGAGGATAGGCTGATAAGCAGAACACTTTTCTGGTTGCTGCTGACAAGGACTAAATCTGCCCAACAGCTCTTTAGGCCTCCCAGTGACCGCCCGGGATTCAGGCGGCCACATCGAAATAACGGTTGTCCCTGGTTGTGGAGCACTACCTAGTTAACTTCAGCCTCCTCAGATGTGGAAGGGTGAAGATGTGCTCTCTTTCTCGCTCTTTCTTTTTGAAAGGATATTTTTCATGATCGTACTTGGTATCACCAGAAACTACCAGTGACATTTTCAACTGAATTCTCCCCAGTTATGCCTCCTATTCTTCCATTGCTCTTTCTATGATATTTTTAATGCCCTTGCTCTTTGTCCTCAAATTTATTCCAGCCCTTTGATTGCTGTACTTTTTTCTCAGTGAACTTCTCCCATCCCTGCCCATAACTTTTTGACTTAGTTCATCTTTACACTATAGTAGTCCAAAACTTCAACTACATTTTCTGGCCAATATCTTTAGTGCTTGATGTCCTCCTTTGTTCCCAGAAAAACTCCGATCAAGGGTCAGTCTGATCTCCTTCCTCTTCCATTCTTACATGTGGGCTGCTGAATGCTGCTGGAGATAAATGTTGCTTCTGTGCAGCTCAGTACCACTACAAGGTCATTCTCTTCTACCGCATGTTGCCCATGACCTTAGCTCTCTACCCAAACCTGATATATGACTTATTCATGACATGTTAGATTTACCCAGCTCCCATTGCATGAAGACTGACTTCGAGGTTCTCTCATTATTGCTACAAGTGGCATCAAAAGACCCCTCTCTATTGCCAGAGAGGTCTTTTTTGCCATCACTTCCCTCTCTGAGAAGAATGCATCTTCCTTACAGTCCTTTAGATTTTGTGCTGCTGTTAATATTAATATCCCTAATTAAAGCTACTATTAATTTGACAGCTACTATGTGCCATACACAGTGCTAGCCACTTTGTATATATTAACTTAATTCTCACAAAAACCTTGACATGTCAGTATTATAACCCAGATTTTATGGTTGAGATCATTGAGAATCAGAAAGGTGAAGGAACTCACCGAAGGTCATACAACTGTAAAGAGGTAGAGTTGGGATTTGAACCCAGGTCTAGTTGATTCGAAAGCCCAGACTCTTCACTGTTCAACACTGGCTTTCATATTATTTTTGAGAAGTGTTTCTCAATTTTGAATATCACACAGTAATTATAGCAAACTTAAAAATGCAAAAAAAAATTATCACCCAAGTTCCATCACCCAAAAACATCTTTGAATTTTTCCCCTCTAGTCCTATTTTCTACCTAGTATTTTATTTGTTCCTTTGTGTTTTACATGATTGAGCTGATACAGCACATCCAATATCATGACCTTATTTTTTAGCTAATATTATAACTATTTCTTCATACTACAGATTTTTTTTTCCAAACATGCTTTCCAGTGGCCTGTATTGATTAAGAAAAACATGAAAATTCCTATGGAGGGTGTCACAAATGCTGAGACTTTCCATAAAATAAGAAATGTGATCTCCGAAGGAGGGATTAAGGGAACATGGACTCTTAGTCCCAGGCAAATGTTGCTTTTTCAAATTGAAGAATGTGACAAATATAGACATTTCACACAGAGCTTCATTAACTTCATTTTCAAACAGAAAAGGCAGTGGTGGATGAGTCCAAGTATTTATCTGAATTTGTAGAGAATTTGTTGGAAAGGTCATCAGCATACAAATATGTAAGTAAATTCCTTGAATTGCAATGCTGTAGCCTTTATTCTAAGACTTTTCTAACCCTAGGTCTGCATCCAGAGACAGGCGTGATCTTGCTTTTCTGTTTCTCTTCGGCCTTTTCTCTCCCCTTCCTCAGCTGCGGGGTGTAATAACTCGGAGACGCTTTAAAGCAGTCGAGGGTTGATGGAAGATTGAACAACTTAGGTCTGAGTCCTGGAATAGTCCTCGGGAATAGCTCTCAAAAGTGTTCACTTTGATTCTAAATCAGTATTAAAACTTTAGTGTAATTTAGTTCTGAACTATTTGTACTGGGAGATGGTGGCACATATTATGTGTGTCACACAGGCTTCAGATATGGCCCCTGAAAATGTTTCAGGAACATTAGCAGTGGGAGCCCAGATTTGATCTGCAAGTCAGTAGTTCTCTTCAGAGAAGATTGATATTGCCATGGAGCCTGACCAGATAACTAATTGGGTTCTGGCAGTTTTGAGACTGAGAGATTAAGAGTGAAGGTTCCTGTGACTGTGAATCCTATCCCAACTGACCACTGATGACCTATGTCATCATACTTATCACACTAGAAACTATCTGCATAACTGATTCTTAACCAAAGAGAGAAAGTGATTAATTACAGAAAACAAATCATATTATAGTGCCATAATCCATCTTGTGTAATAAATATATCTATAACTATATTTGTATCTATCTATATCTATCTATATTTCTCTACACACCAGAAAATTGAAAGTGGATAGAGCAACACACCACCGCCCAGCCTCCCAAAAAGAAGAAAACTTGGCAAGCATGACCTTCTTGACCTTTATATTTATACTTTAGTAATAAAATTTGAGGAGATTTTAGATTTTTTTCCCCATTGAATTGGGTAAAAGGCACTCAGTGCAGACTCTGCTCTTCTAAACTAATTATTACTTTGAATAGGAAGGCTGGCTACTCTTGCCTTGAGAATTTTTATTTTTATTTATTATTTTATTATTTTTTTATTTTTTAGGCAAGGCAAGCCTTGGTTGACCTCACAGATTGCAAGGACTTTGTCAGTTTACAATCCCTTATTTTTTTTATGCCTACAGCACCTGGTCTTCCTAGGAGGTCTCCCATCCAAGTACTAACCAGGCCTGACCCTGCTTAGAGTCCGAGATCAGACGGGATCAGGCTTGTTCAGGGTAATATGGCCATATGCTGGCCTGAGAATTTTTAATTGGCCTTAATCTTTCTTTGGTCTTTGTGTGTTCTTTCACTGGTATAAGTTTATGTCTTTGTTTTAGAATGGATTACTGAGTGGAAAAGACTCAAAGTACATTAAGTTATATGTCTTGTCCAGTGGATAAGTAGAGTGGTCAGATATTTAGCAGAGCTGGATGCTGTTAGAAATATCAAAAATAGTGCTCTCTTTGGCAGCACATATGCTAAAGTTGGGACGATACACAGAAGATTAGCATGGTCCTTGCGCAAGGATGACACGCAAATTCATGAAGGTTCCACATTTTGCTTTTCTGATATTTGCAGTGGGGAAAATGAGGCTGGATAAGGAAGTGCCTTACCCAATCAAGGGCCCTTCCAGCCTCAAACTCCGTCCTCAACTCCTTCTCAAAAAAATATAAATAATATATAAAGTATAGCCCCTGTATTTAAAGAACTTGCAAACAAATTTTGTTGCCTCAATACACAGAAGGGCTATATTAACAAACACCTCTCTCTCTCTCTCTCTCTCTCTCTCTCTCTCTCTCTCTCTCTCTCTCTCTCTCTCGTAGAAACTTCAAAAGCTCATAACTATAATGCTTCTTTGGTCATAAAGCAAATTTCAGTTCATGCACTGATCTGTTCCTTAATGAGTCTCTTCTGTCGCATTATTCTATGCCTATGTGTTGCTCCATCATCCATTTACCTGAATACTATAGCTTTATAATAAGCCTCAATGTCTAAGAGGGCACATCCTTTAAACATTGTTGTTATCTTTCAAAAGTTTTGTGGATATTTCTGACTCGTTGCTTTCCATGGCAATTGTGTAATTAACTTGTGAGGTTGTATAGAAAACCAAACCAAAACAAAATGCTACTGGGTTTTGATCAGAATTACATTAATTTGTAGGTTAGTTGGGGAGATTTGATAAATTTATGATATTGGGACTTCCTGTCCAGCGGTATGGCATATCTTTCCATTTATTTAGATCTTCTTTTATATGCTTTGATAAAGCCATTATTGAATATAATGTTTTTGCACATTTTTGTTAATTAACTACTAAACACTGTATAGTTTTCTTTTCTTTATAAAGAATAAATGTTATTTAAAAACACGAAAAGGTGATTTGAATAATTAGAGAGACATAACTTTTCTTGATGGAACTATATAACACCATAAATATATATAATGCAGTTTTAATAAATTATAACCATATTACTGAAGTTTTTGTAATTAAAAATTATTTTTTGTAATCATTCAGTTAGAAATATTGTCTGATTTCTTTTGTTTAACTCTATTCCAAAGGTTTATTCTTTGACCCAGAGATTATTTAGAAGCATGTTATTTTGAGATTTTCCCAGATGTTTATTAATGGTTTATAATTTAATTTTATTTTAATCAGAGAATATAGTCTATATGATTTTAATGCTTTAAATGTACTGAATCTGGTTTTATGGTCGACCAATCTTGAATTTCTGTGATTGTTACATATGATATGACATACGTGTGTTCTGTGGTTGCTGAGAGCAATGTTCTGTAAACAAACAGGGCCGAGTGTTTTGGCAGCATACTAAGACCTCGATGCCCTGAGGTATATACTTACTTGCTCTATTGATAACTGATAGAAGAGTGTAAATATGGGTTTGTTTATTTCTTCTTTCAGTCTTTACTTCATTTTAAAGCTTTATAATTAGGTGTATACCGATTTAGGATTGTTATGTCTTCTTGATTGACTCTTTTATCATTATGAGATGTCCCTCTTTTTCAAACCTGGTACTATTCCTTACCTGGACTCTACTTTGATATTAATTAGCCACTTAAGCTTTTTATCATTTGGGTTACATACTTTATATGTTTTTATCCTTTTACTTGTAACATGTGTCTTTATTTTTTAATTAAATTTATTGGGGTAACTGATTAATAACATTATATGAATTTCAGATGTACAACTTAAGTTTTTTAAATGCCAGTTTATTTTTTTCATACTATATATACATAATTTTTTAACATTTTATTTTTTTATTTTCTCCTTCCCCCTCCCCTCCCCTCC